ATATGACAGTGGGCAAATGCATAAAGTGTAGCATAATTTGAAATCACAAGTTTAAAGTTTGTCGATCGCGCATCTCCAGTGAAGCTGAACTCTCCTCCTGTCAGCATTCAATTTGCACGAACCGACCGTCACACAGAGAACACGCGATCATGCAGGATAAACATGCACACTTCACAAGATCTCACAACTGGATTCGACTATGTTTGCAAGGTTTGTGAAATTAAATGTTCATTAGTCATTCAAAGATTTGTTTAAATGATATAAAAGCATATTTGCTGAATGCTGACTTTCTATTACTAATAATATTAAAGCAATCGTTATAATACTTTTTTTGTATACATTTTAATTCCTTTGTTTAACTGTTCTATCTGATTATTAGACAGACTTCTATCCGTTTTAGACAGAACTGACCGACGACGGCGAACAAGAGGGAGAATGAGAGCGGTGTGCGCTCAGGCGCTGCCGTTCTCAGCGCCGTCAAAATAATAGTCCCGCCTCGAACACATCGGCCAAACATAAAAACTTATCGGCCGATGCCAATATTTGAAAAATGCAGATGGCGATATATCGGTCGACCACTAATTTTAATTGGTTGTTCATCGGGGTAATGATTTAATGAACTAGCCCTAAAGAAGTAACAACAGCAGGATGTTACTTTTTTAGCGACAAGAAAATATCTAATCAAATTAGAATATCTTCGTTTTATCAACATACATCATCTACAGGTGCATCTCAATAAATTAGAATGTCGTGGAAAAGTTCATTTATTTCAGTAATTCAACTCAAATTGTGAAACTCGTGTATTAAATAAATTCAATGCACACAGACTGAAGTAGTTTAAGTCTTTGGTTCTTTTAATTGTGATGATTTTGGCTCACATTTAACAAAAACCAATAAAATAAAACCAATAAAAAAAACATTTTTAGTGAAATGTTGGCCTTCTGGAAAGTATGTTCATATACTGTACATGTACTCAATACTTGGTAGGGGATCCTTTTGCTTTAATTACTGCCTCAACTCGGCATGGCATGGAGGTGATCAGTTTGTGGCACTGCTGAGGTGGTATGGAAGCCCAGGTTTCTTTGACAGTGGCCTTCAGCTCATCTGCATATTTTGGTCTCTTGTTTCTCATTTTCCTCTTGACAATACCCCATAGATTCTCTATGGGGTTCAGGTCTGGTGAGTTTGCTGGCCAGTCAAGCACACCAACACCATGGTCATTTAACCAACTTTTGATGCTTTTGGCAGTGTGGGCAGGTGCCAAATCCTGCTGGAAAATGAAATCAGCATCTTCAAAAAGCTGGTCAGCAGAAGGAAGCATGAAGTGCTCCAAAATTTATTGGTAAACGGGTGCAGTGACGTTGGTTTTCAAAAAAACACAATGGACCAACACCAGCAGATGACATTGCACCCCAAATCATCACAGACTGTGGAAACTTAACACTGGACTTCAAGCAACGTGGGCTATGAGCTTCTCCACCCTTCCTCCAGACTCTAAGACCTTGGTTTCCAAATGAAATACAAAACTTGCTCTCATCTGAAAAAAGGACTTTGGACCACTGGGCAACAGTCCAGTTCTTCTTCTCCTTAGCCCAGGTAAGACGCCTCTGACGTTGTCTGTGGTTCAGGAGTGGCTTAACAAGAGGAATACGACAACTGTAGCCAAATTCCTTGACACGTCTGTGTGTGGTGGCTCTTGATGCCTTGACCCCAGCCTCAGTCCATTCCTTGTGAAGTTCACTCAAATTCTTGAATCGATTTTGCTTGACAATCCTCATAAGGCTGCGGTTCTCTCGGTTGGTTGTGCATCTTTTTCTTCCACACCTTTTCCTTCCACTCAACTTTCTGTTAACATACTTGGATACAGCACTCTGTGAACAGCCAGCTTCTTTGGCAATGAATGTTTGTGGCTTACCCTCCTTGTGAAGGGTGTCAATGATTGTCTTCTGGACAACTGTCAGATCAGCAGTCTTCCCCATGATTGTATAGCCTAGTGAACCAAACTGAGAGACCATTTTGAAGGCTCAGGAAACCTTTGCAGGTGTTTTGAGTTGATTAGCTGATTGGCATGTCACCATATTCTAATTTGTTGAGATAGTGAATTGGTGAGTTTTTGTTAAATGTGAGCCAAAATCACCACAATTAAAAGAACCAAAGACTTAAACTACTTCAATCTGTGTGCATTGAATTTATTTAATACACAAGTTTCACAATTTGAGTTGAATTACTGAAATAAATAAACTTTTCCACGACATTCTAATTTATTGAGATGCACCTGTATATATATAAACAAAATATACAAACACAATAAATGGGTTGCAACATAACATGGGCAAACCCACATCTACCTAAAGCTGCAAACAATAATTACAAGTTCGAAAAGGAGCGGGATGAAGCAAAAGCTTGTTAATCTCATTAATCTATTAATCAATTTTTAAGTCTAAAATTTGTGCGAAGTAAAATATAAATTATGTAATTTCCGCAGAAATTAAATAAATAACTCTTCTCCTTTGTGTATCATGATTACCTTTGTCCAGTAATCTGTAAAGCACATGCATATTTGGCATTATGCAAATGTGAAAATCAAGTGAACAGATCATGTTTGGGCATTCAGAATGAATGATATCTCCCTAGGTGGGAGTCTCAGTTCTTTTTATGATTTAAAAGTGTTCAGTTTGCAATTATGTATTGTGAATAACTATTCATGTTAACCACTCTCTCACTTTCACTTTAGCTTGATTTTATTAGCTGAGGCAGTCCTTTTCTTTCTTTCTTTTTTGGTAAATGAAATCAAGTTGAAGATGCGTCCTTCATGTATGGACCCAGACAAAGAAAAAGAGAAAAAAAATCTATCTATCTATCTATCTATCTATACCGAAATCTTATAGAATTTATAGTTGTTGTTTTTTTATCCTGTTTATAATGTTTCCCCAGATGTGACTATTAATGTTTTTGTTATACATCTTTTTTGCGTGTTTAGGTGGTGAGGGGGAAATGACCAAGGGGGATGTGCTGAGGGAGTCTTCAGAGGGAGAGTCGGTCCTGGGACGGTACAGCATTATTTCCCGTAACTCTGAGCGACCGGTGATCCATCAGGTGGCATCAGCGCCTATGTCTTCAGACCGCGTTGAGTGTGTGGGTCTGTACACGTGCATCGTTCATCAAAATGTCCTTTCGCTTTCAGTTTAGCCCCTGTGAAAATGTTCTCATGCAAGCTTTTAAGTCGGTCACATAACCAAAAATGCTGACTCTCCGGTTATTTATCTCATCAAATTCTGCCTGCGGCTGTATAGCGATGGATTTATTTTTTCCCGGTCAGGAGGCTGCCTGGCCAATAAACAAACAACTTATTTAGCTGTTTTCTGAAGTGTAGCTTTATTTATGAAGTAAAGTAAGTACGTCTGACGTTTTTCTTTAAAATTAGCATTTCTTTCTGGCTACTATGTATAGGTATCTATGTAAGTACTGGTACTTCTGAATGGGTTGAGGCTGGGAATTAGTGCATTTGAATATAGTGCATATATAGGTGCATCTCAATAAATTAGAATGTCGTGGAAAAGTTTATTTATTTCAGTAATTCAACTCAAATTGTGAAACTTGTGTATTAAATAAATTCAATGCACACAGATTGAAGTAGTTTAAGTCTTTGGTTCTTTTAATTGTGATGATTTTGGTTCACATTTAACAAAAACCCACCAATTCACTATCTCAACTAATTAGAATATGGTGACATGCCAATCAGCTAATCAACTCAAAACACCTGCAAAGGTTTCCTGAGCCTTCAAAATGGTCTCTCAGTTTGGTTCACTAGGCTACACAATCATGGGGAAGACTGCTGATCTGACAGTTGTCCAGAAGACAATCATTGACACCCTTCACAAGGAGGGTAAGCCACAAACATTCATTGTCAAAGAAGCTGGCTGTTCACAGAGTGCTGTATCCAAGTATGTTAACAGAAAGTTGAGTGGAAGGAAAAGGTGTGGAAGAAAAAGATGCACAACCAACCGAGAGAACTGCAGCCTTATGAGGATTGTCAAGCAAAATCGATTCAAGAATTTGAGTGAACTTCACAAGGAATGGACTGAGGCTGGGGTCAAGGCATCAAGAGCCACCACACACAGACGTGTCAAGGAATTTGGCTACAGTTGTCGTATTCCTCTTGTTAAGCCACTCCTGAACCACAGACAACGTCAGAGGCGTCTTACCTGGGCTAAGGAGAAGAAGAACTGGACTGTTGCCCAGTGGTCCAAAGTCCTTTTTTCAGATGAGAGCAAGTTTTGTATTTCATTTGGAAACCAAGGTCCTAGAGTCTGGAGGAAGGGTGGAGAAGCTCATAGCCCAAGTTGCTTGAAGTCCAGTGTTAAGTTTCCACAGTCTGTGATGATTTGGGGTGCAATGTCATCTGCTGGTGTTGGTCCATTGTGTTTTTTGAAAACCAACGTCACTGCACCCGTTTACCAAGAAATTTTGGAGCATCCTTCTGCTCCTTCTGCTGACCAGCTTTTTGAAGATGCTGATTTCATTTTCCAGCAGGATTTGGCACCTGCCAAAAGCACCAAAAGCACCAAAAGTTGGTTAAATGACCATGGTGTTGGTGTGCTTGACTGGCCAGCAAACTCACCAGACCTGAACCCCATAGAGAATCTATGGGGTATTGTCAAGAGGAAAATGAGAAACAAGAGACCAAAAAATGCAGATGAGCTGAAGGCCACTGTCAAAGAAACCTGGGCTTCCATACCACCTCAGTAGTGCCACAAACTGATCACCTCCATGCTACGCCGAATTGAGGCAGTAATTAAAGCAGAAGGAGACCCTACCAAGTTATTGAGTACATGTACAGTAAATGAGCATACTTTCCAGAAGGCCAACAATTCATTAAAAATGTTTTTTTTTATTGGTCTTATGGAGTATTCTAATTTGTTGAGATAGTGAGTTGGTGGGTTTTTGTTAAATGTGAGCCAAAATCATCACAATTAAAAGAAACAAAGACTTAAACTACTTCAGTCTGTGTGCATTGAATTTATTTAATACACGAGTTTCACAATTTGAGTTGAATTACTGAAATAAATGAACTTTTCCACGACATTCTAATTTATTGAGATGCACCTGTATGATATGCAGTCTACCAATAACTTTAGAGTGACAGCACTCACTAGGAACACCCGTAAGCAACTTAAAGTACTACTACAAAGATACACTGGTGGTGTGAAGGGAGCATCAGTACTCAAATGTCAAAAAATGTCATGCTCATGTATTAATAACATATAGTGAACCACTGGATAAACAACACAGGAGCACCTAGGCCTGTCACGATAACAACTTTTTGTTGTGTGATATATTGCCCCAGAAATAATTGCGATAAGCGATATTATTGTCATTTTAAAGACCATTTTATGCCACTGAATATATAATCATGCAGATGAAACTTTGTTTGTAGAAGCATTTTTTTAAACTTGAACTAGCACCTCATGACTACACCACGTTATGTACCAGAATCTGCAAAAGACACAAGCGCAAGTGGAATGTACAAAACATGGTGACATAAATTTTTTAAGTAAATATAATGTGCGATATATTGCGTCACCAAAAATTATTGCGGTCATGTACATATATTGTGCGATAAGTCGATATATTGATTATTGCGACAGGCCTAGGAGCACCATCAGTGAACTACCAACAGACCTACCCTCCATGAGCTTAGCAAAAGGCTCGGGATATTAATAGTGTTTGTGCGATCTGTCTGTTTCAGACGGGAATGGCGCTGAAGGATCGGAGCACAGAAGGTCTCGCGGCCGCCGCGTCTCCCGTCTCGATGGAGGCTAAAGTGAGCAACGGACAGCAGGCGCTCCTACAACACCTCCTGCTGAAGGAGCAGAGACAGCAGAGGATGATGTCACCTGGTGAGCAGAACGCACAGGAAGTACATGTTCTTAAAGTGACAGCGGATCAATTTTTTCAAGTAGTAAAACTAAAAAAAAAAAAAAAACAGAGAGGAGAAATGTTTGAGTTATTTGTACTATATTAGTTCTAAGTTAATTGTAAAAGTATGCAGTGAAAAAATGCACTGAAATAACAGAAAAAAAAAAGTGACTGGGCCATTCAGATCAGCCACTTTAAGTTATGATGGAAATGTTTTCTACGCGTGAGCCTTAGCCTTTGAGCATTTATGTCAATGAATAACAATACAAGAATGCTAAGAGGATGCTCATATTTCCACTCTTTTATCATGAAGTGGAATCTTCAAGGACAGAGGCCTACATGAAGAACTCTAAGAGACATACAAGTCGCTCTAGTTTACCATTCAGTCTCGTACCAAATGACAAACAACATGAGAATGTAGGCCAGCTTGCTTTGAAGTGAGGAACATCCTGAGGTCAGGAGTAGTATTATTTCTCACCGGTTCTGTCCTTGACAACTATCCAACTTGAGACCTTTATCAACATCAGTATGTAATAAACAGTGTTGATAACTACATGTCTGATTAATCTAACCTTGACTCCCTTTCCATCATGACCTGAGGGTGTAACTAAGTATTCTTATTTGTGGACACATTTCATTAAACACGTTCTAACTTTTCCAGCCTATAACCAACGTACAGTGGTGAGGACTGGCCTTGACTACACTCCCAGTTTATGCACTTGTTACAAAGCAATACATTTAGTATAACTGTCTTGCATTTTAACATTTTCACCCGTTCAGTTATCAGAAATCACAATGTTTATTTATGCAATAAGCCAGAGGAAGCTATCTAATCAGAATTTAGAGTTAAAACTATTTTCACAATGAGGATTTTTGTTCCTTTACAATTATCTTAATTTTCTTTGAATCCATAAACATGCTGTACGTTGCAAATAAAAATAACCAGGCAGACAGTGTCTTTTAAAAGATAAAAGACCAGCATGTTAGAAAATACTCATTTAAAATTCAATCTTTAATTTTGGGACAAACATGAAAATTGGGACTCCATTTCGAACAGGTTTCACCTGTTTTGATGCTTTCAGGTTAATCTCAGCTGTTGGTTTCTATGCACTTTTAGGTTTCCTTTCCATGAAGTAACAGCACAACAGTAAACAACTGTTTAAAATGTAATGACATAACACCCACAACCTATTACACAATAAGATTTAATATTTTATACATTTCAGTAAACCAGTTGGTTGTATATGAATGCTGTCTTATTACTAAAGAAGATCCACTTTTTCTGTGAACCTGAAACACAAAATAAATGTTAAACAATTAATATAAATAAATAAAAATAAAAAACTTCTAAAACTAATAGTGCTTCAAAACAATCCTGCTCTGATTTGCCTCCACTTTTCTTACAAGTCTTTTCTTTGCTCAGATTTCTATGGTGTCAGTTTTATGGGGCAGAAAATCATCTTTAGATCATTAGACAATAACCACTGCCTGTAGTATGTTCGCCACGGACCCTCTCTATCCCTCCAACAAGGCCATTGTTCTCTACACTGTCAGTCAGAGAGAGAGAGAGAGAGAGAGTGAGTGTGTGTGGGTGTGTGTGTATTTTGGAGAGCACACATGCTTGAGATTCCTTAACGTTTCACTTCATGTGCCTGAAATTACAAAACACAAAGCACAGTGCCGAGTTTCACAGGGGCTGCTGGCTACAGTTCTGCAATATTCTTTACCCCCAATCAGGGGAAGCTCCCTGTCTTGGAAAGAAAACAGCAGCCATTGAGGAGATTAAAAATAATGAAAATAAGCCTTTCAGGCCCAGGAGTCGGAGCATTCTCGGGTTGGCAGTCACCTAGCAACTAGTGCTTGACCATTCCATTGTGCAAACTTGTGTTAAGCTTTTGCCCCCTCGTTAGCGACATTCCTTTGAGTGAGGTATTAAAAGATTAGGGCACAAAAACATCATTTTACTCACTATTTGCTATATGTCAAAGATAATCATTGATCAGATAAGCAAGAGTGGGCACAAAGCAAATCTGATTTCATTTCTTACTTTTTGAGAGACAACTACTTGACTTTGCTGTTGTTTGTGCCTCCTTAAAAATGTACCCTCTACCTTTAACCTGCTAAGCAATGTACTGCAACCTGAATGGAAAAGAGTACTGCAAAGAGTCCCCTTAAGAACACAGCAGAAAGGGTCTGGCTCATGATGGGTGGGTGTCTTGAGTGCAGCACTGAGCAAACACACGTTATTTTTTCAATTAAGGTCAGCAAGCTTCCAGTGTTGTTTGTCACAATCCTGTGGAGAGATGAACAAACTGAGTTGTGTTAACAGTAGCACTGCCAGGCTGAACGGGGGCAGGGTGCCACATTGCGTCTATTGTTGATAGTGGAATGCTGTATTAGCTGCTAATTTAACAGAGAGAATGACACAGTAATAATAATGATGCATAACGCATTTGCAGAGCGAAATCAACTACACTACTATTCTAAATGTTTTTTTTTTGTTTTGTTTTTTAAATAAGCAGCAAGGATGCCATAAAATTATGACATAAAAACATGACAGTAAAGACACTTACAATCAACAAATATAATTACAATGTAAAGACACAATGTAACACACAAATATGTGTATTATATATATATATATATATATATGTAAATATATGTATGTATATGTAAATATATGTATATATACATATATATATATGTATATGTGTGTGTATATATATATATATATGTATATGTGTGTATA